AATGATGACTTCCCAAGTCTTTACATGTCAGACTGGAAAACAGAAGTCATATTTTTCTTATTGATTTGTAGGAGCTCTTTATATATTAGGGAGATGAGTTCTTTATTTTGATATGAGATGGACTTTTTTTCCATTTTGTCATTTATCTTCTGAATCTGTGTTTTCCCTCCATGAAGTTAAACAAATGTTTTGTATGTGGTAGAATTTGTCGTTATTCCCTTTTAGGCATTAGGGTTCTGTCATACAATTAGTAAGACCTTCACTATTCAGATTATAAAAAGGAATTCTTCCGTTGTTTCTTTTACTATTTGTTATGGTTTTATTTTTTAATATTGGAATATTTTCTCCATTTAGGTTTCATCCTCATGTAAAGTGTGAGATACTACTTATTTTTTCCGAGTTGTCTATTCAGTTGTTTCAAAACCATTTACTCAATAGTTCATTCCTCACCTCCCCTGATTGCTAACCATATATTAAATTATACTATGTATTTCAGCCTATTTCTGTGATTTCTATTCCGTGTCACTGCTTTATCTGTATGACAACACTACTCTGTTTTGTGTATTATAGCTTTAAAATATTTTTAAAAATTGTATGTCAATTTCAAATTTTTTTTTTTTTTTTGCCAACTTAAATTCAATTTTCTGTATTGAGCATCAGAATTTCTAATAAAAAACTTACTGGTGTTTTTTGTGTTCATGTTAAGTTTTTCGATTAATTCAGGAATGATTATGTATTTATGAAATTGCAGTTTTTAAATCTGAGAACACTCCATGGCTTTCTATTTGTTCAATTCTTCTTTTGTGTCCCTAGAGAGAGCTTTACATGTGTTTCTTCCTGCAGACCTTGCACATTTTTGTTAATTGTATTCCTAGGAATTTATCTTTCTTCCCCCTTCCTCCCGTGTTGTAACTAGGGTCTTTATTCCTTCATTATGTCTTTTAATTGGTTGTCCATGTATACATATAAGCAATTTACTTCCATATTTATTTAATGGAAACATGCCATTTATAAAGATTTAGAAGTATATACCTGTTATAATAGAAATATTATAATATTTCTATTCACGTATTAGCACTGTGGCAAGAGGCATGTTACTTAATCTTTAGAAGTCTGGTTTTTCCTGTGTAGAATGGGATAATAATAGGACCTTTCTCATAAGGCGATTTTGAAAGTTAAAAAGCTAAAACACAAAAGCACTTAGTAGTATGAAACATAGCAAGCATCAATAAGTGCTGGCTCTTACCACTGAAACTTAAATGTAGTCCATGAGGGTCAGGATAGGAACTGACTTCAGCTTCCCCAAACACTCACCTCCACTGCGCGTCCCTCACACTTCCCAAACCAGAGCCCCTGCCTAAGGGGCTGCAGAGGCCGGGGAGACGGAAACGGAGATGGCAGGGCAGACGCCCTATATCGTTGGAAAGGTATGAAAGTATTCCATGGTGATGTGCATTTGGGGATCCAGGGCAGTCAAAGGAGGGGACACGTGTTCATGAACAAAGCAGCAGAGGTGGGCAGAGCCCATTTTTCCAGCGGTCACCAGAGATCTGTAGGGGCTCTATCATGGCTTACAGGCCATTGTTTACATACGTGTATCCTGAACCCGTATTTACAGCAACTCACCCGGGGCCCAGGAACTGGTATCAGCAATCACTGGGAGCTGATTGTGGTGGTTGAGGGAGGGTTGGGGAAGCTGTTTCCAGATCTGCTGACCCCTGTCTTAGTGCTCATTTCTCTTCATAGCTCTCTTCACTCACCTCATCATTTATTCCCATCGTGGTCTAAGTTCTAAATTATCAGCAGAAGAGACAGATGACAAGCCGGAAGAAGAGAAAACCAGAGGGATTAAAATACTTTGAGAAGAGACAGGCTGAGAGAGCATTGAGATTGAAATCAATAACAGTATTTGCTGCGTATCTCGTGGGCAGAAATGGAGGGGCGTAATAATAGCTATGTCTTAGGTGTTTGTTTGCCGCCTGTTTTATATGCATTTTTCCTTTTATTCCTAACAACAATCTTCCAAAGCAGGTGTTATTAAGCCAATTACACCACGTGTCTAGAAAGCAAGGCCTCATTCCTCCTGCAGCTTAGCATCTATGTCCTTATTGAAGAATACTTGTAAGACATACGCACACAGGCGTGGACCCCGGGGCTCATGACCATGGCTGAGCTGCACGGGAATCTTGAGGACGCCAGCCGGCCGGAGCCAGTGGAGGGAGTTCTGGAGAAAAACGGGATGTGATCAGTGAAAGGAGGGATATTATCCGCCTTAACTGTGATAGGAAAACAGGACCGAGCAGAAGGGAAAGCAACTTGATGGGCAAGTTAAGGGGCCATGGAAACGGCAGAAGCTCCCCGCAGCTCGAGCTCGGCACGCGGAGGAAACGTGGATGAGCCCACTGCGGTGGCGGCGAGATGCTGAGAGCAGGCTGCCCCTAACGGGGAAGGGCTCCGTCAGCTACTTAGCCCCGTCTCCCGCTGCTGCATCCTTTTTAAAGTGACAGTCACGAGGCTGCAGGATTCGGAAGCGGAAATGGTCTCAGCTCATTGGCTCACCATCTAAACTCAGACCGAAAGAATGTGGTTGGAGGCAGCTGGTGGACACGGTCCCAGCCGGGTCTTCAGGGGAAATGTCACGTCTCCCCCTCTCCTGCGCTCTCCTCTGCCCCCCTCGCCCCGTGCGCCGGCCCCTCTCTTATCAGCTGTTATTAGAAAAGTGGCCCACCCGGCGCGCGCACGGGGCCCGAGCGGCCCAGCGCCCCCGGCTGCCCCCGCGACTAACGCCAGCTCCTCGGGTGGCTTATGAGAAGTGACACTTCTTCCCGGCTCCCGGAGCAGCTGCCGTTGTTGCCCACCGTCGGTGTGACCGCCGGGAATGCCACGGGGCAGGGCTCCGGGGCTCCAGAACCACGTAAGCACGACGACGCACGGAGTCAGCCCGCGGACACCCAATGACCTGGGACTGCGGCAAAGGGGTGTGGGAAAGGCAAGGAGGGAGGACCCCTCGCCCGCCGCCTTCCTCGCTGCCGTGGCCGGAGCACGCCTTCCAGCCCGGGGGCGGGGGAGGTCGCCCCGGGTCGCCGGCGCCTCCCGCACCCGAGAAATCTGCACATTCATGACTCCCTTTCATCTTCCGGCGAAACCCTGGCGTCCGGAGGACCGCCGGTCCCAGTCCCTCACCTCCAGCCTTTCGCCGGCTACGGGGGCGGCTTCCCCACCCCCCACCCCCGCCCCCGCCCGCGCCCCCGGCCCCACCGCAGGGGTGCGGCCTCCGCTGCGACTTCGCGCCCCTCTCGCGCGCCCCGCAGTCCAGAGCTGTGCCTAAGTCTCGGCAACTTTCACCATTTTGACCCGAGAGTCGGGCCATTTCTGAGACAATGTGAACAAAGAGGAGCCGAGAAGCGAGGGGCCGGGGGGCGGACCGCGGGGGCGAATGTGCGCGCGCGTGGGTGCCGGGGGCGGGGGGCGGCGCCGGGGCAGCGCCGGGGGTCCCGGGCGCCGGCCGGCTGTCCCGGGCGCCGAGCGCGCCGCCTCCCTGCTCTCGGGCCGGCCTGGCTCGGCCGCCCCCCACACCCCCGTCCCCGAGGCCCGGGGTGGCGATTTCTTTGTCCCGGCCCGCGGCTGGGCGCGAAGGCCGCTGGCCGCGAGCGGGAAGCCGGGCCCGGGCCCTGCAGCTCCGGCTTGCACTCGGGGCCCCGCGAGGCCGAGCAGGAAGGAGCGGCCGCGCGCCCCGGGGCGCCCCCCGCGCGCCTCCCGCCCGCTCCCCCGACTCCGCGCCTGCCTTCCGACCGTGGGGGCGACACTGGAACTCCGCGGCCGCTTCCCCCACAGCGAGCCGGGCTGCAACAGCGAGGGTGGCACGGCTCGCCCCGAAGAGCGGGGCTGGGGGTGGGGGTGGAGAGGGGGTCCGCTGGCGCGCTCTCCTCCTCCCGACTCTCCAAAGATGCGCGCGCTAGTGGAACTCGGGGGCACAGGCGGTGCTCTGGCGCCCCCGCTGCCCGCCGCGCCGCGTCGCCCGGATCCGGCTGCCAGGCTGCACCTCGACGCAGCCCGGGGTGCAGAAGCCGACGCCTTCAGACAGCCCCGAACAAAACGGTGGCCGAGTCCGCCTCGCCTCTGTGTTCGTGTGTGTTGGCGTGCGTGTGTGTGCGTGTGTCAGAGACGGCGACAGCGAGAGGCTGGGTTCACATCCCCCGGCTCACCTGCAGCACAGTTTGCGCTTCTGTGTGCCTGGCATTAAGAATGGAGAGAACCCGCCCCATCCGTTCAAGCTCCCCGATCACCCCCACTTCCCTCCAACTCTCTCAACTAAGTTTTATTTCGTAACGCGATGCAGCACTGTAGCGCCGCTGCGAAAACGAGTTCCCGGCTGCAGCCCGAGCCTCCGCCCACGCCTCCGGCCAGATTTTAGGTTACCAGCCTCAGTTCGGCGGGGGGGCTCGGGCTTTCCGCCTCCGGCTCCCCCCCCTCCCCCCCCCCCCGGCGCGTCCTCCCGTGTACGGCGAGGGCTCCGCGGCCGCCTCCCGGGAAGTCCCGCGCTCTGGCACGCCGCGCGGGGCCTGCGGCAGAGCCGCGCGGGCGGGCGCTAGGACCGCGGGGGAGCCCCGGGCGGCCGCCGCGCTACCTTAAACCCAGCCCAATGCCGCTGCCTGCGCCACTCTGCGCGCCGGCGGGGGCTGCGCAGGAGGAGCGCTCCGCCCGGCTCCACCGCTCGGCGAGCCGGCGCGGCGACACCTGTTCGCGGCAGCCAGGGCGGCACGCGAGCCCCGGCCGCGGCTCTCCTCGCTCGCCGCTCGCCGCTCGCCGCCCGTTCTGAGCCAATGGACGCCTGCCGAGCCCCGGGAGAATTCTGGATACTAGCTTTGGACGCCTAAAGTTTTTATCTTTTGGTTTTTAAAAAAATAATAATAATAATTTTTTTTTGGAGGGGGGACCAGGAGGGGAGATTCTGTCGCCGCCGCCAACGTGAGATTTTTTTTTTTTTTTTTTTTTCCCCTTGAAGGATTCATGCTGATGTCTGCAGAGTCGGTTAGAGTAAAAACAGCGCATGCCTTCCTGGAGTCGGGATCCGTAAATTCTGACGTAGCCCGTGCATCTTAAAAATCCTTATAATAACGCCTAGGCATTTAAGTTGCTATGGTCATTCCGATCTCAAACCAAATGGAGAAACTACGGATTTTTTTTCCTTATTACGGTCGGATGGGATGAAGACCTTCCTGCCTGCTAAGAGCTGGGGATCTATCTATAGAGATACATAGATGTGTTTATCAATATGTCAGTGTGTGAGTATAAAGTGGTGGTTTCTTAGACTATCAGTGGTTTGACCTTGAACCTGTGCCAGTGAAACAGCAGATTACTTTTATTTATGCATTTAATGGATTGAAGAAAAGAACCTTTTTTTCTTTTTTCTCTCTCTGCAACTGCAGTAAGGGAGGGGAGTTGGATATACCTCGCCTAATACCTTCTGGGTTGATACCGTCATTATTGTTTATTCCTGTGCTCCAAAAGTCCTCTGATGGCTCCCTTAGGTGAAGTTGGGAACTATTTCGGTGTGCAGGATGCGGTACCGTTTGGGAATGTGCCCGTGTTGCCGGTGGACAGTCCGGTTTTGTTAAGTGACCACCTGGGTCAGTCCGAAGCAGGGGGGCTTCCCAGGGGACCCGCAGTCACGGACTTGGATCATTTAAAGGGGATTCTCAGGCGGAGGCAGCTATACTGCAGGACTGGATTCCACTTAGAAATCTTCCCCAATGGTACTATCCAGGGAACCAGGAAAGACCACAGCCGATTTGGTAGGTATACCATTAACCCTTTAATGTCTGTGCGATGCCGCGTTCGGGTTATCACTGCCAAGGAGGTGGTGGCGGGGCGGGGGGTGCAGGGAGGGATCTCTCCCTCCGTCTGTTTCTGTCTTGCCAGCCTAAAAAAAAAAAAAAAAAGAAAGAAAAGAAAAGAAAAAGGAAAAAAGAAAAGAAAAAAAAGAAGGAAAAGAAAAAGCAAAAAGCCTCCGGAATTGCAGATCTCCTGCTGGCACTGATGCAAGTCTACATTGAAAAGGCCCCCCCCCCACACTCTTTTTTTTTTTTTTGAAAGGAGGGCATGATTTAGAAATATAACACAAGTCTCTAGTTCTTTTGCATCAGATACACGGGAATATCGGGTTTAGGAAGTTTCTTTTGAATGGACTGATTCCACGAGTTTAAAGCTTTAATCATTAACTACTGAGAACTTGAAAATGCATTTTGCTGAAGGCAGTGGTATCCTGTGTCCCAGGGAAGTTTCTGCTCCCTCTCTTTTTCTTCTAATAAGTATACTGTTTGAATTGTAAATTAGCGTATTGTTGATTCCCACCGCGAGGGTCTGAAAACCCCGCAGGCGAAGGTTGCCGACTGATTGTTCTGCTGGGAGGACTAAAGTCATATTTTAGACTCCGAGGGCAGCAGAGGCAGAGCGCTGGGGAAAATGACTTGGGAAGGGGCCGAACGCTCACCGGGGGCGTCTGTCTTTCCAGCTACCAAGTTATTACCCGTGCTCTGTATCTCCGCAGTGTGCAGCCCTGGGTGGCTCTCGTGTGTGTGTGTGTGTGTGTGTGTGTGTGCGCGCGCGCGTGCAAAAGCTGCGAGCTAATTTTAAAGGACATTCCGAGGATTTCATTTCCCAAGGAGGGTACTTGTGACTCAGCACTGAGGGCTGCAGCCCCGAGTGCTGCTGACTCTGCTCACTTTAACGCCTGCACGCACGTGCCTGCGGGCCGCCCGGAGCCCCGCAACGCCGTGTCAGCGAGCCCCGTACCGGGGTGGGGGGCGGGGGGGGCTCTCGGTGCTTCCCTCGCCCGCTGGGAAGCGAGCAAGCGCCAGCCGGGCAAGCAGACTGTTGGAAGGAGTTAACTTCTCCGTGAACCCACCTGACAACACTTAAACTAGGTCGTAAAAAACAAAGTCCTGTGGTGGTTTTTCTTTCTCGGGCTTTAATGCCAGATGTCGAACGCAGCCGAAACTATCTGTTTAGATTCGTGGGGCTGTAGACGGTGCCGGAAGGGGGGGAGACAGGCCAGGGATGGGGGCGGCCCCCCATACTCGAGGCCCTGGATTCTCTCCTCTTGCTCACCGCCAAGCCTGAGCCCCAGGCGGAACCTACTAGCGCATAGATTTCTGGCAGGCTCCCCTCTCTGCTTGGGGGGGGGGAAAAAAAAAGAAGAAGAAGAAGAAGAAAAGGCAACGCCGGAGCTCCTCGCTTTGCAGTTATTCGGCCGAAATAGAACTGGCCCCCCGCCCCCGCCCCCCGGAGCAAACGCAGCCCCGGCGGCTGCAAAGCGAGGACTAAACTTTACTCCGAGTGCGGGTCTGTCTCTCCGGCCACTTGAAGGGCGGCCGCCGTGCCGAGCGGTCAGTACCCGGAGGGCGGGCGGCGGGCGGGCGGCGTGGCGCGCGGGCGCCCGGAGCCCGGTGCTCCCGCGGTCCCGGCCGGCAGGTGCCGAGTCGGCCGCCCGGGCCCCCCGGCGCTCTCGGCGGCCGCCCGGCCGGCTCCGCGCGGTCCTAAACGCGCTCCGTTTCGTCCCCCCCCTCTCTACCCGGCTCGGCGCGCCCTTCGGCGCTTGCACGGACGCCTGTGTCCGGGGGCGACGGGCCGGGGCCCGCACGCTGCTGGTAGTGTTTAGGGAATGAGATTGTTTTCGGCCCAAGTCGAGTCCCTTCGCTTTCTCTTTGTGTGTGAGTGCGGGTCCTGCGCGGCGTCCGCGGTGTGGGAACCGCCGCGGGCGCGCTCCGCGGCGGGAGGCTCGGTGGCGGGGACGCAGGCCAGGCTGGCGGTCGTGCCCCGACCTCCCCCCGCGCCGTCTCGGACCCGTCTCCCGCGTCTGAAGCGCGCAGCCGGGTCTCGGAGAGTCGGTGGCTCCGCGGTGCCTGGGAGGTGGGTCGGGGACCCCGGCCGGCCAGGCCGGAGCCGCGGGGTGGGGGAGGTGGGGGGGACAAAGGGCCGCGGAGGCGGGTGGAGGGGGCGGCGAGCTATTGTTAACCGCGTTCGGGGAGCAGCGCTCGCCGCCCGCGGGCCTGCGTTCGGGCGCCCCGGCTTGGGCCCCGGCCTCCGGGCCCGGGGGAGCCGCGGGGCGCAGCCGCGCGGGGCGAGGGCGGCTTCATTGTGTGAATTGGCCGAGCCCGGCCTCGGCGGGAGCGCCTCGGAACCCCGGCGTGCACAGACTGTGGGCTGATCCAGTTGGGGCTCCTCCACGGTCCACCCCCCCATAGGCTTTTTTTTTTTTTTTTTTTTTAATGCAGTCACCTTTAGGGTAGGACGTTTGCTAAACGCAGTCGAGTGAGTCATTAGAAATCTAGTAAGTGCCCCCGGCGAGAGTTTGGATGCCAGGGTTGAGTCGTGGGGACCGCGAGGGTGGAGGGAACCCCAAAAGCGAGTTCTGGGGTCACCGGACAAGGACCGCTGCTAAAGCAGCTGAATGGGGAGCACAAAACAAAAAATAACTAGAAGTCGTCACCCCCCTCCTACCCCGCCCCCAATCCCGGAGGTTGGAGAAAGGTGTCGCCAAGGAAGTGACATCTCTACTCCTTAGACTCGCTGGGCGCTGTTGGCTGGGTTGGTAGGGGCCGTGCGGGCAGGAGGGAGGAGAGCCCCGGCCCGCGTCGGGGGGCGGGGGGGCCAGGGGCTCGGTCCGCGAGCGGGAGGGTCGGCGGGGGCCGGCCGCGGGGGGAAGGGCGCGCCCGGCGCCGCGCTGCGCCCCTCACCCCCGTGCGCATGGAGCCGAGTGGGCGGCTGTGCGCAGTGGGGGTGGGGAGGGAGGCTGAGGCGGGAGGGTTATTTAAGTCTCTCATCCGGCTGCAGGGAGAAGCGGCCCCCGGGGTGACAGCAGCGCCGCGGTCTCCCGCTGCTCCCGCTGCGGCAGGTCCCAATATTAGCAACCTCCGCAGCGCGCAGCGGGCGCCGCGAGCCTCCGCCCCTCGCCCTCCCAGCCCCGCCCGGAAGGCCGGGCGCGCGCCGCGGCGCTAGGACCCTGCGGGGCGCGCGCGGGGCGGGCGGCGGGCGGCGGGGGGGCTGCGGCTGCTCGCCGCACCTGGCGCGCCCGCGGCCTCGCCCTCGGCCTCCGTCCGCCGCGGTCCGCGGCCTCCCTTTCCGCACCCCAGCGCCCTTCAGGGGACTTAGTCTTCAGCCTCAGTTTCTCTTCCGATCCTTTAGAGGAGAGCAGCTGTAGGTAGGGGTGGGGGCGGGGTCACGCTTCGGGTACAGACACCCGGTGCCCGCGTCCGTGCGGGGAGCGCGCCGGGGACCGCTGCGCGCGGGGCGGCGACACGGCGGCGGGGACGCCTCAGCTGGGACCTTGAGAAGCCCTTTGTTTTTCCTGCGGGGGTGCTGGCGTGGAGGTGAGGCCGGGCGTGGAGAGGAGGAGCGCGGGTCTCTCCGGGGCCTCGGCGGGGGGCGAGGTGTCTCTCTGCAGGGACATTTTTTCTCTTTAAAGCGCTTGCTCGTCGGGGGGCGGGGGGGGGGAGCGAGCAGAGAACCCGTTGAGGAAATGGCAGTGCGGGATAATAAAAGGAAGTGAGTGCCGGTCCTTCTGCGCCGTCTGCCTTGGCCGAGGCAGCCCGAGCGGATGGACTCCTCCGGCGACCGCCGGGGCCTGCGCTGGGAGACACTGCCTGTTGCAGGGGTTGTTTCCCGGATCGGTTCAGATGCTTGAAAAATTGGGAGTTGTAACTCCCACTCAGTCCTTTCCTAAGGAAGCTCGGAGATTTGCTCCGAGTTGCTACGGACTCCGATGAGCTCCCTCCGGCGCTTTGAGATGATGGATTTGGCGGCCCGGGTGGGTTCTCTGGGCGAGCAGGGAGCTCCGTGGGAGGGGGTTGATCTATTCTCGAAAGCCTCCTGTCATGCCTCTCTCCACAGTCTGCGTGCGTTCCTGTCCTCTGAGGAGTGCAGCTCTGCTAAGTGTTGGGGGCTTTCAGGCTGGAGGTTGTTTGGCTCGGGCCACTGTGGCCGTCCTCCCACGTGCCTGGCCTTATTATGGCCTTGGACGTGAGGCCCAATACAGAGGGGCCTTTGGGAGCTGGGCCAGCTTTGGGCTCGTGGTCCATTTGAACGGAGCCCTGGGCTGACCACTGACATCGAGTGAGTCTGGAGCAAAGGCCTGGTGTGGTCATTTTCCTAAAGTGATCTCAGGAGCTGTCGCAGACTCTTGCGGACCAGAGATGACCTCGGACCCCAGGAGACCCCCTTGGGCCCAGTGAGCACATCCTCCAAGGAACTGTGAGCTGCCATGAAAGAATGATGGATGCCACTTGGCCGCTGCCTGTTACCGTGGCCCTTGTGAGCTGAGGGTGCCTTGGTCGCGTCTGCCTCCCTCCCTCTCTTCCTGTCTTCTTTCTTCCCTTCCCCGCCCTTCCCTTCTTACCCTCCCTCTCCTGTTGCTCAGTAAACATTTAAAGCTTTCTACACAGAAGCCTTCTCCTGGGTTGCTATCGATCCAGCACCCCCTGCACTGCACACTCATGCAAAAAAGGGGGAGGGGGCCACCCTCCAGTGAGCGTGGTTGGAAGCACTTGCTTGGCTCAGGCCCAAAGACAGATTAGTTGACTTGGTGGAGGTTATGGAGTTCACTGTGGACAAGATGGTACCAGGAATGATAAGGATCCAATCTGCTGGGTCTTTCTGACCTCAAGATGCTGGTGCTCTGGGAGGGGCGGGGAGGGGGGAGGGAGGGGGGAATGCTATGACTCACTCAGGTGCTCTGCTTGCCCTTAGGTCACTGAGATGACCTCATAAAAGGTGTGCTTTTCTTTTGAGGTCTCTATTTTTCAAGGAGTTACAGGGATATGGATGGTGGTTTGAGATGATGAAATCATTTCCACCTGGGGTAACTTCATAGGTAGTTTCTTCTCACCTGGAGAGCCACCTCGGAAACTTGTCTCAGGTATTTCCGGGGGCCCCCTCTGACTTCCCTTCCCAAACCTGAGTGAGCTACTCCTCATTGGACCTTGAGCATAAATGTCCTCTTCTCACCGGCTTTCCCACATTGTTGTTGTTCTTATCTGTTGACTTGTCTTTCCTTCCACTAGATGGTAAGCTCTTTGAGGAGATAGGCATGGTTCTTGGCTGATGATAGTCACTCAGTAAGAGTTTGTTGATTGAACACGCCAGTATAAATGAACCATAGCTATCTTTTGATGCCAGAAAAAGAAGGTAGATCTCTTAATACTTTCATTTCCAGAATATACAATAATGACTTCAGTACTTAAAGCCTTTAACAGACTTTAACTTTGTGTACATAAACCATTTGGGTCAAGAGTCTACATACATAGGAGATGCTCCCCTTCCCAAATGCTGCATGATGAGAGAGCACAGTCCTAGGGGCTCACCTGCTCTTCATTTTCTCTGCTACTTCTGGGCCTGCTCACCGGGTCTGTGGAGTCTGATCTAGGTGACAACTTCTAGTCACTAGCGAGGGAATGGCTATATAAATATGCTACAGAAATCACGGATACATGGGGGAAAAAAAGGTAAAAGCAGTGGTAAGATGTGCATCATCAGTAAGGATATAGGTTTTGGTGTCTCATTGCTTGGGAGCAAATTATTTAACATCCCGAAACCTCAGCGTCCGCATTTGTGAGCTGAAGGTTAAAATACCGGAATGCCTAGGGTTGTTCTGAGGATGGAGTAGAAGAAGGCCTCTCTGGCACTGACTAAATACTCAAGTGTTCAAGCCATTTTGATTGTCATCGTTTTTGTTATTGATAGGATTCTTGGTGCTCTGCAGACAAGCTGGTCAATGGGTTTGTGAGATCACCCACACCCTGTTGCTTTTGGGCCTGATGGGCAATGATGATGAACACTCATGATTCGTTCTCAGAGCTGCCTCACGTTTAGGGAAAACCGAGAGATCCTCACATACTCTGTTAGAAGATGCAAGTGACTTTTAGTTTTGCAATTAAACCCTTCCCCACTGACATGGCATATTAAATTGGTTAGACCTCAACAGGGGCAAAATACTTCCTATCTGTCATCTTATGATGAAAATTAGACAGTAATGAATTCCTGACACTAATTTTGGGGTTACTGATGGCCTATATTGTAGTTGTTTTCAGGTAGCTAAGGAAAGGTTCATATGCATGGGACTCCCCATAGTAATAAAAGGCCACAATTGAAATGACTTTTTAATCATAAGAATTGGAAACCGGACAGTAAAATGAAGGAATTGCATGAGTAAGCGAGTGCATCTCGTGTGAAGTGAATCTTGTGGAAATATTTCCTTATTTATGTTTCTGTTTGCTCTGTGAGGTAGGGAAGGCTCGTCATACACTGGCTCTTTTTGATGCATCTTCCAATGCAGAGTCGCAGATTGTCAGATCCGAAACACAATTTGTAATTGCTCTTTATACTTTGTCCGTACACTGTTTCACATTTTATGGAAATAGTTTTGCATGTTCCGATATTCTGTAAAATGTAGACACGAGATATCGGTTACATTTTGTGCTTATAAAAGAATTAAGAATGCCCCTTTGTAAGAAATCTCTCTTCTTTTTTATATCACCTTGGAACCCTTTGCTTTATGAGATTCATGCAGTGCATGTCTTCTTTGGATTTTGCAGCCCAGTCTGTTTTGTGAGGGTTGCAAAATTAATTGTCTCAAAATCCACGTAAGTGCTTTTTTATTACTCTCGGGAGACTGACTATAGCACACTGTTATCCTTCTTGTTCTGCTCAACTCTTAAATATAAGTGAATTTTTCAATATTTGAAGGTATTTTTAAAACAATTCAATATTTGGTATATGTTAACTCAAGGTCTGCCCAGAGGATATCGTTTTATAACAAAATTGAGCGAATGGCAAAGCCCAAATAATACTATAGCACTGTCCCAGAGATACAGTGGGGTAATCATCCTAAAGCAACAATATAGTTAGAGAAATGAAAGCTGCTGTTGTATGGCCATAAACTTCTAGACTGATGCCCAGTCAAGGTGTCGTTAGTCTCCGTGAAGTAGGCAAGGGGAAAGATGGGGAAGAGAAGATTATGTTGGTTTGACTTTGGGATATAGTTCTCCGTGCCCGTTTGCAATCAAGAGCTCTTTGATATTAGCATTTTCCCCTCAGAATATTATGTTATCTTAATTGCTTAACTAGCTCTTTGAGGTTTAGATAAGTACAGCAAAAACCAATATTTTGTTTAAGCAGAAATATTTGTGATGTGTGTAGGCTATTTAATCTTCCAGGTGGAGCTCAATAAAGTTAGATGAGGAAGAGGTGAATAATAGTCGTATAAATCAATAAGGTCTTTGGTTAGCACCTTATACTATTATCCTAAGGGAAATAAGATCAGTCTCTGAATATAATCTTTTCCAACTCATGCCCATACACAGATTCTTAATTTCATATTTACAAAGGGGGAGTAAGATGTTTTTCTCTTAAATTATACTCTTCTAAGGTTAATGAGAAGATGTATTTTTGTTTATCTGTCATATCACTCTTAGGGTATCTGTAAACACTAGCTTTAAAAATTTTTTTGTTATGTGTCATGTTAGTACGTATTTTTGTATCATTTTTACAAAATGGGATTTCGTTGAAAAATCAGTTTTCTTTGGCAGTGGTTTTAAGAGAAGACACTCAAAAATTTTTTTAGTGTTTATTTTGAGAGAGAGAGAGAGAGAGAAAGTACAAGTGGAGGAGGGGCAGAGAGAGAGGGAGACATAGAATCTGAAGCAGGCTCTGAGCTGTCAGCACAGAGCCCGACTCCAGGCTCGACTCATGAACTGTGAGATCATGACCTGAGCTGAAGTCAGACACCTAACCAACTGAGCCACCCAGGTGCCCCAAGGTGCTTTAGTGAGTGTGAGATTATCCAAATTGGGAGTTGGGCTCAATGTCCTCTCAAAGAGTCTTAGGGATGCCAAGACTAAGGCATTGCTCCGTGCTCTGACCTGTCTCCCATTTGTCTTTTAGGCATTCTGGAATTCATCAGTATAGCAGTGGGCCTGGTCAGCATTCGGGGCGTGGACAGCGGACTGTACCTCGGGATGAACGAGAAGGGGGAGCTGTACGGATCAGTAAGTACTGGGGGACACCTTGCCAATCTTTACGCTTTGTTCCATTGGGACTGCATTTCCTCCAGATTACACACGTCTAGAAACGAAACTGAGTCTGTTTGGAAGGAGAGTGCACGTTCTTGCTTTTTGAGAAAAACCATTCTGTTTTTATTTATAGATATCAGCGCTGGATCTTCACCAGGCCAAAGTTTCTAAGAAAATGCTTTATTTATATGTCGAGCCATTTTCATTGTCAAGTAAATAGAAAATTCACAAGTGTGAAAAATCCCATCTTCTTGTATTGAATGGGAGTTATTTTTGAAATGAATTGAAATTATCTTCTCCTAAGCTTTGCAAAGCAGTGTAATTAAAACTAGAAACAGACAACCATGCAGTGAGTATAAACCCTTTCTCTGAGCGCCACAGGACTCTCATTATGTATAGAGAAGAAAGGGATGGAAATTATTGTCAGATATTCTTGTATGTGAATAAGAACATAAAAATATTATAATCATCTGCAAGTATTTAAGTTTCTTTTCTTTTTTTTTTTTTTTTCCTGTCTCCCTTCCCATCTCTCCCAGGTTGTAAGCTCCTCGAAGGAGGCAGTAAAGTATTTAGGGTAGCCCCGCAGGTGGCAAGTGCTATTCTAGGTGCTCCAGGTGCTATTCTAGGTGCTGACAGTAGTGAGAAGTCCTCATTTCTGTTTTGAGAGAAGGGGACTGACTTTACATCTTTGCTGTCTTTTTGCTTGTGCTAGCAGTTCCTAAAACACAGCGCGTGCTTTACAGCAGGAACTTAGTGCATTTCTTCGCCAAATGTATGAGTGTGAATAATAGATTATTAGTGACTATATACTACCTTGAATTTTTGACAAAAAAGCTTGTAGTGAAATCAGCTGTTAGTTTTTCCTTGCCATTAGCGGTAGCCATAGGAGAATTTAATCCACGTTCCTGGCCATCAGAGATGTTTGCTTAGAACCCACAAAAAGTTGAAGATTAAAAGAAAGAATGGGAGACGGAAGTGAAGGGCATTTTCACACATAATGGTGAGAAATGTTGCCTAGATATATCCCTTTCTTGTCCACATATTAGAAAATAAGTATGTGTGTACACACACATGCAGGGGTTGGAACGGTATCAAATGCAAACTCTTCAAATGACAATAAATGTCCTGTGTCATTTGAATATAGGACATGCCATTAACAATTTTTTTTATGTTTATTTATTTTTGAGAGAGAGAGACAGAGTATGAGCAGGGGAGGGTCAGAGAGAGAGGGAGAAACAGAATCTGAAGCAGCTCCAGGCTCTGAGCTGTCAGCACAGAGCCCCACACGGGGCTCGAACGCACGAACCATGAGATTGTGACCTGAGCTGAAGTCAGACGCTTAGCCAACTCAGCCACCCCAACACCCAACCTACACCATTTTTTAATGATGCGAGATGGGTTTTCCTGCCTTGGTGAAATTTGAGTCTAGGTTGGTTGATTTGGTTAGATATGTAAGTCTTTTAAAAAGAAGTGCTTCCTTGAGAGAATAAAGTCCCTTTTTAAGCACAGGATTGGGTTGAGCTTTTGAAACGGTTCGCGGTTCAGATCAAGTTATTTACTGCCTAAATCGTTGTCGCCAGCGCTTTTAAGTGCAAAGATAGAAGGTATAAGGAAGCTTTTAAACTTTTGGAACCTAAAATGATGTTCTCCTTTGTCACCCCGTCAATTGTTTTTTTAATACTTTTAGGTATCCCATGTGGCTTTAATTAGGTTGGTCACAGCTGAACTAAATAAAATGCTTCTTGTGTGTAGGGCACGACCCAACATTTAGTGAGTGGAAAGGACTAGGGTTTATCACCATGGTCTCTAGACTTTCTGGATCACATACTGCCAGCCAAACAATTTTTTTTGAGTATGGTTCTTAACAGTGTATATTAAATTATTTAAAGGTTCTGTATATAAAATGTAGTTCATATTGATTGTTTTGTTTTATTTATTTTTATTTTTTAAATTTTTTTAATGTTTTATTTATTTCTGAGAGAGAGAGAGAGAGACAGAGTGAGCAGGAGAGGGTCAGAGAGACACAGAATCTGAAACAGGCTTTAGGCTCTGAGCTAGCTGTCAGCACAGAGCCCGACGCGGGGCTCGAACCCACGAACCGTGAGATCATGACCTGAGCTGAAGTCGGACGCTTAACTGACTGAGCCACCCAGGCACCCCTGATTGTTTTATTTTAGAAAACCCATATTAAGGTAAACGTTCTTAAAGGTTGTAACAAATGAGTAATCTCAGATAGAGGCCATATTTATTCCCCACTCCATGGACCACCGTTTACGCCCCTGCACAGCACCCTCCCCTGGAGAGAGGTGACGAGTCATTCAGAAGAAATCTCCGGCATCACAGCCCGTGTTTTGCTGGTTGACAAGGAGAGTGGTGGAGCTTTGTGTTCGGCACAGTGGCCTCTGTGTATGTTGTCCAGCCGAGCCTCATCTCCCTGTCTGGGGTCTTCTGGTGGCTTCTAGCTCGTCTCTCGTCTCCTCTCCTCCGGCTGCCTGCCTTCCTATGCCCCAGTCGGCAGCACAGGCTGTGAACAGAATGCAGGCTCTAGAATGTACCCTGAAGGTAGGCCCGATCAGTATCAGTGACAGGACTGTCTGAAATGGTGGCCGGGTGGCGGAAAGTTGGAGAACCCCCTCTTGGCATGTTTTCTGGGAAGCCCACAGAGCGCGTGGCCAGGAGTAGACTTCCCACCTCCACCGCCACGTGGCCACAAAGCCACACAGCCAGCTGACAACCCCAGTCCCTGAACCCAGCTAGGCGAAGGGGAGAGTCCGAGAAAAGGCCGCCACCGCCTCCCCCCCCCCCCCCCGCGCCGTGTACAGAGCACCCGCGGGCTTGGAAACTGCTCAGAACCAAGGAGGAAGAGGAACGCTTTTGCGTATTGTGATTTCCTTTCTGGAAAACTACCTTCCGAGGCTCCTCTGCATTGAGCCTTCTCCCCTTTCCAATCCAGTCTCCGTGCTCCTGGGAGAATTGCCCTTCAAAACGCGCATATGAGCGTCACCTGTCAGTGCAGAGCCCTTCAAATGCTCACCTTGGAAGGTGGATGGCTGCCTGCTTTAGCGCAGCACGCGGTGCTTCTCAGCGGCCACTTTGCCTCCTCCGCAAGTGGTAGCGGCTCCGTGAACACTTGTTGGGTGGAAATGAACGAAGCGCTGTGACTTCTGTTGCTGCTTCGTTAAACACATGGGTGTGGCCCTCACTGCATCTCTGCTCGTGTGGTCAGGTGTGCGTGGGACCCTGCTGGAAGGTGAATCCCACCTTCCCATTCACGCGCTGCGCCGGACAGTGACGTGTCGTCCCTGGTATGTCCCGGCCAAGGGGGACATGGCTGAGACGGGAAAGAAATGGTGAAGATGCAAAAGGGTGGCAATTGGAGTCAGTCTCTCTCTGCCATTCTGTCTCTGCCACTCCTAAGGGCCCTTGTTCTCCTCATCTGTGAAGCGAACAGCTTGACGTAGATATCTGGAGTGGCTTTTCCTACTCCGGATCTCAAGAATGTATGGCTTGGATTTGTCAGGCTTCACTCTTGGGTCTTGTCTGTCTAATGCGTGATGCACATACGCACAGTGTGTCTGCAGCAAGATCGTGTTGCCTCTTATGCATGGAGCTGGGCAGCCGATGGTTTTCCCTTTGGTCTGAGCCTAAGGCAGGAGAGGGGGATGGGAATGAGGTCGGCACTCGTCTGTGGCCAGGAGTCATGCTCTGCATCTGGGTTGTGGCCACCACAGCTGTGTGGCAGCGGGAATCAGGAGTGGCCGAAACATCACATTTCACTGTGAGGGGACTGGGAGAAGGAAAGAAGAGAAATAGGCACTGATTCTGTTACTCAATACAGTTGGCCCTTGAACAGCACATGTCTGAACTGCATGGGTCCTCTTTTTTTTTTTAATTTTTAAATGTTTATTTATTATTGAGAGACAGAGAGAGACAGAGCATGAGCATGGGAGGGGCAGACAGAGAGGGGGAGACACAGAATCCGAAACAGGCTCCAGGCTCTGAGGGGTAAGCATAGAGCCCGACGTGGGGCTTGAACTCACGAACCAGGAGATCATGACCTGAGCTGAAGTCGGACGCTCAAGGCATCCCAGGCGCCTCAGCTTGGGCCCTCTTATAAGGCAGGTTTCATTTATTTATTTATTTTGATAAATACAATACAGCACTGTAAATGTACTTTCTCTTCCTTGCAGTTTTCACGTTGTCTTTTCTCTGGCTAAGTTTATTGTAAGGACCTCATATCCAAAATGCGTGTTAATCGTCTATGTTGTAGGGAAGGCTTCCAGTCCACAGTAGGCTATTAGCAGTGCGGTTTGGGAGGAGTCAAAAGTTGTATGCAGGTTTTCCACTGCGCCGGGGGTCAGTTGACAGGGTCAACTGTACGCTAGAAGTTGTAGCTTTAAGAATTTTTATCTGTATGAGGTTGTGTATTATTATGAAAGAAGGTTGAGAGGAAGTCTGGGGAAGTAGCAGATTTCCCCTTACAAAAAGTAAATAGGTGTGTACATACAGCAAAAATGAATTTAAAATGTATTTTGGGATGACTTTTCCCTTTTCGTCTAGGTCATTCTTTTGTTTCCAAGTTTATGTTGGGAATGTATCTAAAAGGTGAACAGAGTCATATTTCTATAGAAAAATGCATAGGATTTTGCTGTCCTAATGGAACATGGCAGTGGGACAAGTGGCATGCATAGTGTGCATCGTGATCTGACTGAAGGAAGCCTGAATAATTCTGACTCCGCGATGGGGTTCGATTCTCCTGTTCACGTGTTCACTCACGCATGTGTCAATTCCTTTGTTTGCTCTTTCATTGACAAACATTTAAATGTACTGGATGGCATGTACTAGGCTAAATGTGTAACAGTGCAGCAAAGAGCTCCAACTCTGGTCGGAGAAATGTACTTATAAATAATTCAGTGCCGTGTGCAATGCGCTATATTAGAAAAACACCCAGGTATCTTGGAGGGTCCAAAAGAGTG